GAGGAGGAGGAGGAGGAGGAGGAGGACGAGGAGGAGCAGGAGGAGAGAGGAGGAGGACGACGAGGAGGAGGAGGAGGAGAAGGAGGAGGAGCCGTTGACGATCGCGATTATATGAATATGGCTGGTTCCACTGCCTTTGATGAACTCGCTAAAAGTGGAAGCCCAAATGCATAACTTGAGCCCCCGAGATCTCGAAGATTTTGAGCCTGTCTGTCGCCTACAAGAACCTTGTTTCAGGAGTTCTGCATGTGCTGGAGGCCTGGCCCTCCTGCGAGCAGCAATTCGGGGAGCGTTCAAGACCCTCGAGGCCCAACGAGGCCAAAACTGGTGGACCCCTGCACCTCCCTGCCTGCCATAGGTCGGCTTTTCGGTGTCTGCAGTGTTAGAGGGCCGTTTCGGATCGGACGTCCACCCCTTGCCAATCCCTGTCCCCATCCATGAGCTCCCTCCTAAGAGGGTGTGCGGGGGTGGGGCGCAAGCTGCATTGGGCTCGGGCTGTCGAGACTGACATACCAATCATGTTATGTGCGTTTCGTGGGGGGGTGCTTCGGTTAAATCCGATAAGCTGTCCAAGCCCTGTTTGAACCCGAAGCGGTCGTCAGAGCGGTCAATGCTCCTGCGTGGGCTTTTGCCCGGCTCCAGCTACACTCTGGGAAAAGTCTTGTCCCTTGCTTCCCTCCCGCCCTTTCCTCTGCCTCCCCTGCCTGCCTCCGCCTTCTCCTCCTCCTCCTCCTCCTCCTCCTCCTCCTCCTCCTCCTCCTCCTTGCCCCAGCGGAGTAGCTCTTGATTGTAGTGCGGTGCAAGCTGCTCATGGCGTGGCATGGCACCCTCTTGGTCTGCGGGGTCTGCGGGGTCTTCGAAGGAGGAGGAGGAGGAGGAGGGGGAGAAGGAGAAGGAGAAGGAGAAAGAGGAGGAGGAGGAGGAGAGGGAGGAGGAGGAGGAGGAGGAGGAAGGGAGGAGGAGGAGGAAGTGAGGAGAAGCAGCAGCAACAGAGCAAGAAGAGGAGCAGGAGGAATGGAGGAGGAGGAGAGGAAGTAGTAGGTAATGACAGGCGGATCAGCAGAGGGAAGAGGATGAGGAGGAGAAGCAGGAGGAGGAGGAGAAGGAAGGAGGAGGAGGAGGAAGGGGAGGGGGAGGGGAGGAGGAGGAGGAGAAAGAGGAGGAGGACGAGGAGAAAGAGGAGGAGGAGGGGAGGAGGGGGAGGAGGAAGAGGAGGAGGAGGAAGAGGAGGACGAGGGGGAGGAGGAGGAGGAGGAGGAGGAGGAGGAGGAGGAGGAGGAGGAGGACTAGTGGTAACCCAAGAGTCATCAACGATGTTGGAATTAACCCCCCCTCCAAGCTTCCTCTTCATAGGCCCCTACAACGGTTCATCTCCATTGGGGGAATTGCCTCGTTGAAAGACAGCAGTTTGAAGATCCTGCAGCATGCCAAAACATTGTTCTCGGGACTTCAATGCCACGTATCAACCTGACTGCTGCGTCTTGACGGTCCAGGATCGTGCCAGAACGCCATTCCTGGGACTTCAACACCGCGAATCAACGTAACTGTTTCGCTCCCACAATCCTGAATCCTTCCAACATGCCATTTCTGGTACGTTGATCCTGGAAACCCGTGAAACTCTTGCGCGGCGCTAAGAAGAGAGCCACATGTTGAAAAGAAGCCGCGCTCAACCCGTGAAACTCCAGGAGGAGGAGCAGCAGCAGCAAGAGGAGGACGAGAAGCGTGAAAAGAAGGAGGAGGAAGAGGAGGGGGAGAAAGAGGAGGAGGAGGAGGAGGAGAAGGAGGAGGAGGAGAAAGAGTGGCGAGGGAAAGAGGAGGAGGAGGAGGAGGAGAGAGGAGGCAGGCGGAGGAGGAGGAGGAGGAGGAAGAAGAGAGGGGGAGGAGGAGGAGGAGGAGGAGGAGGAGGAGGAGGAGGAGGAGGAGGAGGAGGAGGAGGAGGAGGAGGAGGATGTTCCCTGAGGAGAAGGTTCCCTGAGATCCTGGCGTCGCACATTTGTGGCAACGGGCGATTCTGCCGCACGTCGGGCCCCGGGACCCTCGCGGATCGATCGGGTTCGAAAGATGCTGTGAGAAGATGGGCTCCAGGGCTCTGGTCGTGCTGTTCCGAGATGTTGGTCCTGGTGGTCCTGATGTTGGTCCTGGTGGTCCTGAAGGTGGTCCTGTTGGTCCTGATGGTGGTCCTAGGTCTGGGGCTCTGGTCGTGCTGTTATTGTTGATGGTCCTGGTTGTCCTGACTTTCCGGCGCTGGCCTCGCCGAGCAGCATGCACGGCCGAGCGATGCCAAGCCTCTCCAGGAGCCAGGGCCCGTGAAGCCTCGACGACCTCGACGACGACGACGACGACGACGACGACGACGACGACGACGACGACGACGACGACGACGGCGGCGACGACGACAACGACGAGGACGACGGCGATGGCGACGGCGACGGCGACGACGACGACGGCGACGACGACAACGACGAGGGCGACGGCGACGGCGACGGCGACGGCGACGGCGACGGCGACGGCGACGGCGACGGCGACAGCGACGGCGACGGCGGCGGCGGCGGCGACGGCGGCGGCGGCACCCGGCCTGGGAGCCGCAGAGCGCGGGCCCACAGGCAGCGGCCGCCCAGGGGTAGCAGACCACGGCGAGCCACCAGTGGCCGCAGGAGGCGTCGTGCAGGGGCACCTCGGCGGCGTCGCCGTCGCCGTCGTCGCAGTCGTCGTCGCCGCCGCTGTCGTCGCCGCCATCGCCGCCGCAGCCGCCGCCGTCGTCGTCGTCGTCGACGTCCGCGTCGGTCGTCGTCGTCGCTGCTCACGAGGGGCGAACATTTCCGTGTCCGCGCCCGCGCAGTCTGGGCTCTGGGGCAGAATCCCGCGGATACGCGGTTGTACAGATCCGCCCCGCGCGGGGCATCCACGAAAAACGCCCCGTACAGTGGGAGCCCAACTACAAAAAACCTTCCACAAGAAATCCAACCCTGAGACCCCAGGACGTCCGCTGGTTTCTGGTGTGGGAACGCCACCCTCTCCACAGCAAGACCGTCGAAACCCAAGAAGCCCAGGGCAACCTGGAGGCAAGCCCCTCCTCCTCCTCCTCCTGCTCCTCCTCCTCCTCCTCCTCGCCAAGGTGTTCCTTAACATGGGTCTCCACCGTATCCGCGGGGTCCAAAAGCCCAGGGGCCAGCCCGCGACGCCGCGGGTGCGGATATGTGTTTTTGTCGCCCACAGGGGCACCAGCAGGAAGTCCCGGGAGAAGAGGCCCGCGGGCGTCTCGCGCCGGAGGCGCCTCGACGGCTGCGCGGTGATCGACCCCCGAACCACGAAGACACGACTGCACATGCTGGACTCGGCGGCGAGCGGGGGGGGGGGACCTGCGAGGTTCGAACTTGGAGGTTCGAACCTCGAGGAGGTTCGAGGCTCGCAGCGGTTTTCATAGGTTCCGGCCACTGGGGGCCGTTGTCGGGGCCCGGGACCACCGAAACTCGATCCAGGGTAAAAAGCCGCGTCGGACAGACCCTGGGAGAGGTCCAGGGACCCATCTTGGCCGATATTCGGCGGCACGTCCAGGGGGGGGAGTGAGAAGGGGCAGGCTGTCTCAGAAGGCGGCGGGACTTCTCAGAAGCCCTCGCGCCTTCTGAGAAGTTTTTCTGTGCCTTTGGGAAGTCGGGGGGGCTTCCGAGCCTTCTGGGAAGGGCTTCTCCTTCTCTCTTCCCCCCCTCGCTCGCCGCCGATGGGCAGAAGGTGACAACGCTCTGTCGCAACGTGGGCAGGTATGCGCCACGTCCACATCGCAGAGCGGGAGCGGGGGGGGTGGCTCTGGGAAGGAGGGACGTGCCACTCCGCGACGAAAACCCTGCCCCGACTTGCGGCCGCCGCGATCGCCGCGGCGACCTCC